TGACCCGGAGAGGTGAGGTCGATTCAATTAAAGGCACAATTAAAGCATTCCCGAATGTTTGATAACACCGCCCGCGACGGCGAGCACGTTCGTGCAGAAACGCGTCGCTGAAACGCCATTGTTTCGCAGTAGGAGCGTAATAACTGCTTTTATGCACGCCGAGTGTCACGCGTATATATACAAAATGACGCATCCATATATTTATTTGCGTATAAACTCGCGAGCATTCACGCGGACGTTTTGTGCCTCGACCCAAATGTGTGTTGCCTCGCTCCCCGATACGGTGATCGCAGTCTCGCGAACGCCGATGTGTCCCAATTAGAGGCGCAGCGACGAAAGAGAACGATGATGACGACGACATGGTTTCCTCGTTAATCACGATGATTACGCCATTTTCGTGCGCGCAATCAGCCCCGAAAGAAACCGTTGTGTCGCGATAACTGGTTTAAGGAAGGGCAGATCGTCCAACCTTCTTTGTGCGAGCGGTACCAACGGAATTTTTCGTGAAATTAGTTCCGCTTGTCGGTCGAGACGGCGAAATCGAGTTTTGTCGTGATTAAAGCAACGACGATCCGATAGACTTCCGCTAACGACGGTGGGCAACACCTGAGAGCGGAAGATCCCGAGGACGAGAGATCGATTTGTCGCGATTAAAATATCTAACGCACAACTTGTCTCAATTTTGTTGTTTTTTTTTCAACATCGTTGGAATAAACGGATTGAAAGCACTTGAAAAGTGCAGATAAAACAGGAAAGGGGACGGAGGACCAATGCGAGCGATACGGAGCACGTGTAGACCGAGAGCCACTGATTGCGAGAGACACGCAACAATCGCTGCAATTGACCGCGTAATAGAAACGCGTTATGCAGGCCGCGGCAGGAGCCGGTAGGATACCGGTCGACCTTGAGAATGAACACGATTCCTTAACGTGCGTTTTCCCTTTTACGGAAGGGTTCCGCGTTCGCGTAATTGCCGCGTTACGCTCGACCTTTTGCAAAATTCGCGAGCGATAGAAATGGTGGACAGGGCATTTGGCATCGGCCAGCAGAAACCATCTGCCGATTCTTGCGGGCTCTGCACAAAAGCAGCTATTTAGATTCACAATTTAGCGTGGTTTAGCCTTTAGTAACAACTTAGACGAAACGTTAAATTAACTACGAAGTGAGATCATTGAGTTCTCGTCGTAGTTTCAGTCTTTTCATCATTTCGCGACCGCGCACGGTCTGAATTGAAGGCATCGATCGTTAAACGTCAATCATCCGCCAGCATGCTCGCGAATGACATCACGCGAATGCATCGTATTATCGAGAAATCGGCATTAATGCGGAAAAATTCACTTGATCCAATTCGGAGAGAGTAAACCGCCGTGAGACCGAACTTTGGGAAAGGGCGAGGCGTGTGAGAGACCAATCGTTGGATCCATTGGGTTTAGATACCTCCAATTTTTTTTATGGTAACTACATGAGAAAGTCCATACTGTAGTAGGGTCGTGTAACAACCGGGGTGTATGCTAAGCAAATGCAAATGCATCCGATCTGCATAATTCGCCGGGAGATTTCTCTTTGTTTTGCATGGTTTCGCTTTGGACCAGCCACTCGATTTACGCGATACCGATCGAGGTGTCGTTGTTTATTACCGGAGGTGTTGAACTCTGACACTTGGCGTTTTGATAAAATGTACATTTTGATGAAACAGTGGAAAAATTCTATCTTGTAATAACATTTGCAAGATATTGTGGATGCGAATTAAATTTAAAAGAAACGGAAATGAAACTTGATAAAAATTGATTGAATTTGCTTTGCAGGAAAATTATTGAATTCTATGCGCAGACGCTAACGCGGAAATAATAAGAATAACAGCATTTACTGACAGTTTAAGAGAGGTTTTTCCAAGTCCACACACAAAGAAAGTGCAGACTTAATCAGTGCAAACTGTTATATATAACAATTGATAAAAAAATAAACAGAAAAGAGAGAGAGGAATAGGGGGAAAAAGAAAATGTTTGAGTAAAGGGAAGTTTGAACTGGAAAAGGGAAAGAAAAGAAGGACCACATAAAGGTAGGGTGAGAAAAAATATATGAAAAGGAGACGCTGGAATTCTTTCCGAGAGATAAAGAACAGTTTTCCGGAGGTGCGTGTTTCCAGGCGCGCAGGTAGAAACTCGTGCGATCACAATGTGAATTTTCTACCTGACCGCTGAGTAGCAAAGAACGTAGCTAAGAATGAAGCAGCGAATTTCGGACGAAATGTTTTTTTTCAATAATATCGAAAATTTCATTCCCACAAAAATCGCCGTCCACCTATTAGCCTTGCAAATAGGACATGCGTACGTGAATAAAATATATACAATATAATGTCGCGGAAACAACTTGGACATTTTGCGAAATCTTTGACAGCAAGTTTAAGCAACGCGATTAAATGGCTATCGAGCGATCGCATATTCAATAGCCGAGCAACATCGCGACACGTTATCGACACGCATAAATAATCATCAAATCGAAAACCATTTGAGAAACCGGCCGTGATTTATCGTATCATGCGTGTATCATGGCCTCTGTACATAATTTTCCGGTGAATTGTAGGGTAGCTTAATTGACACGTCACCTCTTCTTGTGGTCTACACAGAGCCATTCGTCTTACCTTCGATCCACGTGTCGGCCTTAAATCAATTCCGGGTACGGACAAATTACCAAAAGGAATTAATGGCTTCAACGCCGGCCCTAATTGGCCCCAAATCATGCGAGGGAGCCTCGCCCGATCATTGCCTCGCCCTTCGAATGCAAACAGCGGGATATACACCCTCGCTCGATTTTATCTTGTCGCTCAAGTCAATTCTACGCCTACGTGAAATTAATGAACATCCTTTTTCGATTGATTATTCGCGATTCTGGGATCGTGCAAGCTCGTATGCGAGTATATATGTATATGCACGTACAGATAACCTTTAGAATCTTTTAAATTACACTGTACTTCGGTGGGTGGATAAATGAATGGGACTGCCCACACGCTGACAATGAAACGCATTTGCTAATTTAACGCCATTCTACTAACTCATCCGAGCCTGTAATAAGAATTACGAAACCTCGGCTCGTTTGTGCGATTAGAGACTTGGAACCGGTGCGCGAGTCATCAAACTCGGGGGAAATGGATAGACTGTCTTAATGTGATAACCATTAGAAATCTCTCGACACGTTAGGTCTGTAAAGAGCAAGACATAATTCGTTGGCAATGTTTAAAAAGAAAGATGCCTAGGGGGCTTGGACTGTTAATCCATTCAGTAGCACAACAAAAGTCGTTATTTGTTTGTTAGAAGCACAAGTTCCGTTACCACTTTGCGCTTTGTACATTCTTAGAAGCGCAATTTAGTATAGGGTTTGAAAAATGACTACTTAGAAACAGCCGGAAACGAGTAATAATAGAGAGACGGAAATGAATGTAGAACGTAGAAAAATTATACGTTTGATTTCAAGACAATGAGAGATGTACAGAGATCTTTTGTCAATAGTCAATTTTACGACGGATTCAACGTAGCTCGCGATTCATTCATTTTTATCAGATGAATGAAAAATTCTTCTGGATATTATCTCAAACGCACAGTTAAACGCATAGACGACATTCGCGTGATAGAGAAGAGATGTGCAATTACCGAACTCTTTACATGAAGATGCAATCTATTTATATGCAAACTTTGTAGCGCGACGGAAAATATTTATTGAAAAGTATAATTATGCAAATGCCAACCTTTTTGTTGTGCCTATAATCATTTCTAAAATATTGCTACTCTGCATGAATGAATGTGTCCCTGTCTTATCTATTATTTGAAATAAAAAATCACAGAGACTTTAGTAAGACTCTTTCACACAATTAGCGAAATAAAAGAGCGAGGAGTGCGTCGAGATAATTAATGCTCGCACGCGTGGTCAATTTATTCCACCTTGCCTGGATTCATTCTATATGCAAAGTTGAGAGTACGTTGGATTTTACACGTATACGTTCGCTCTAATGCAGTAATCGAATTAAGAACGCACTAACGTCATGTGTGTGACACGGGGCCGACTCGGTGAAAAGCTGTACGAAGATTTATATTTTTTTTTTGCGCGCGCGCTTACTTATATTTAATACATTTCTAACTAACACACTTGGGTCTGTAGCGAGAGAACATGCCCGCATGCTTGAGATGTACGAATAAATCGCCCACTAATATACGTAACGATCGTATAATCAACAAATCGGCGTAAAAACACCCGTAGGCGGATTGACACGATCGGACGAATTAATTTGATTTCGAAAGGTTCGTACACCTCGCCGTTTAATATAAATAATTCAACTGAGCCCGACAGTTACACGCGCGTGTTGCACGTTGGAAAATGTTTTTTAATTACATTCCTCGGCCAGCCCTTAATTTCTGCAAACCTATCCTTTTAATTAGTATACCGTTGAATATACCGTAACGTTACAATTACAAGGCTTCATGAATAATGCAAAATCATCATTGCGGAATGACGAGTCCGTCTTAAATCGCGATAACGTAATTGTGATTGCGGCGCGAACAGCAATTTGCACGCTACAACGTAAGAAATTTGCGATTGTTTGATCGCGGATAACTCATGCTATCGCCCATATTCGCTATGATATTAAGCTGTCGCACAGAAGGCGATAATGCGAACGACTTATCGCACTCACGTGCAAAGCCCGAGTGCTTCGGCATGGCGTACGTGGGCGTGTTTGTGATTTACGCCAGCGTAGTTTGTTTCTCATATAATGTCCGCGCACAAAATCAATCATTCAGCGATTAAGCCGCGAGATTTGCTAATTACCGTACCAGCCGCGCCGATCTTGGCCGGTTGTAAATCTCGTTTCAAAGGAACACGAACAAACAGCCTAAAGATAAAAAGGCACGATGTTTATTTACGTTCGTCAAGATTCGTGGGCACTTTTACGAAGGATTACCAGTCGGTAAATAAATCCTCGTGGAAGAAACGTTAGAGGATTTCGTTTATTAGAAACGATCTGGTTTGTCCTGAGTCATTGTCGACATTGCCAGTGCCTTGCTGCTCCTCTTCGTCCTCCCGTTCGCAGGGCCGTACCGGTGAATCTCGCGCTTGATTATCTCAATGTCGTTCCTCACGGCGTCCAGCAACTTTATCATCCTCTCCGTCTCACGCAGCACCGGTCTGGGTCGATGAACCGTGAATGACATTGACCGAAATCGCTACACACGAAATTAACAGATCTTACGGAGCCATCAGCAGCCCGCCTTCGAGCCTCTTCTCGTCGTGAGCCCATCGTAAATCTCTCAGAATTAAATGGAGCTTATTGACGTCCTCTCGAACCCTGGCTGTCTGCTCGCGATACTCGTTCAATTCGCGTTCTTCAAACTCGATGTCCTCCGCGAGGCATGTCTCCTTCTCCTTACAGTGGGCGACTCCGTTAACCATTTCAGCGATTCTAATTTCGATTTGCCAACAAGCGGTTAATAAAGCTCTCGTTCGGAGAGATGGTTAGACGGATATCGGTAGTAATTCATTCGTCGCCTCAAGTCAAAGATCTTTCATATTAAAGCTGCGACACTGTAGATATCTCTATGTAAATCAGTAATGCGATCCATGTGAAATATCGCTAGTGCAGAAGTTAAAGCGCCAGACGCGATCCTTATCGATAATTTCCCGATGATCATAAGGACATTCGAGAAAAGACACAACTCTTAGGTAACTAATTACATTAATACGCCGCCGCGGTGGCGACGCTGCTCCTTTCAACGTACTTGTAGCGCAGTTTTTCGAGTTCTCTGTCGCGCTCGTCCAATTTATCTTGATAATTTACATGAGCCACGTGTAAAGTCTCGTAGTCCATAGTAGTCATCCCTTCCCCGAGCGTTTCCAGATTTCGCAGTTGCGCTTTTATTTTCTCGAGACGGTGCTGCAGGAGGATGTACTCGTAACGATTGCGAGCGAGAATCTCGCGCCGTGACACCTGGCAATGAAGAAGTCCTCACGTGAGCCCCGCGACTAACGTGTACGCACGTCGGGCGGATTTAATTGGTACGTCGCATAATTGCTGTAATAGACAAGTGATGATTCACGGTCATTAAGTTACACCTGCCGACGGGTTATCTCGTTGACAGCCTTCTCCGTAAGCATTCGCCCGGTCTTCGCGTAAATGAGACCCGTCGCCACTTCCCTCTCGCGAGCCAGGAGTTCATCGAACACTCGCGCGTTTTCGTCCCGCGCCTTTTGATCCCTGTCTTCGTAGCTCTGCACGTCGGCCATTATCCGCGTCTTCCGCTCCGTTATGTCGTCGAGATGCCGCTTGTACGTATGCAACGTTTGTCGATAGATCTGCTCCATTTGCTCGGGCTCCTTGGTCGCGTCCAGGGGTGTCACTTTCTCTTGCATCTGCATGCATTAATGCATCGTAGCGTTTCTGCTCAAGACAGAGGGTACTTCTACGCTGCACTCGTATATCGTTTTAATCGCGTTTAATTAGCACGATCGAGACAGCAGACGAAATTTGCAGTTGACAGTGTACACGAGTAGTGCAAAATAGGAAGCGAATTGGATGTAATTTATACAAAATTTACTGATGTTTAACCTTTCTCATGTGCTTGACAATCCACACCTCGAGAAGTCTGTTTCTCCTTCGTAATTCTGTTTGCTCGGCTAAAAGTTCTTTCAATTTTCTGAGCATTGCCTCGTGACTGGCAAAAATCTGCACCGGCAATCACACTAAATCTCATTGTCAGTACAAATAGTGTTTAATCTATTACGATCCCATCTTTTTAATATCGCAACGCGCATCGCGATCGTGACGATCGTAATTTCATGAAAACACGCCGGGATGCTTGGGGAAGCCTTTTATTATTACCATTTCAATCGATCACAATAGCGACAGAACACGTATACAATGCGGAAACATGTTTGTGCGGGGGCGCGTGATGAGAAGGGAGACTTAAGTCCTTAGAATATTACGAAGGTCGTGAGGCACAGTAATTCCACGGGCAGAATGACGCAGAATGACAAGTTTATGCGAACCTCGACTGGTATCTCAGCGAGCACGTGATCGGGCCCCACCACATCTTGCTGCACTTCCTCTTCGGGCTTCTCTGCCGTCGAGACTGTAGCAATATCGTCGGACGGCGTAGCTCTTTCTTCTTCTGCTTCCTCATCTTCGAGGCTTCGAGGAGCGGACTCCTCGTATCCTTCCACGTACTCGTACTCGCGTTCCCCCGGTTCCTCGTCCCAAATAAAAAACTCATCCATTTTGTAAACGGCTTCCTCCCCTTCTGCCTCCGTCCTTTTCTCCTCTTCCTCATGTTCTTCATTCCCCCGGGCCGAATTTTCACGAGCCTCGTCGACCACAGTATTTAGGTATAACCTTTCCCGATTGTCCTGCAAAATGTCGCCGCGCTTTATCGAATTACTGGGAACGTCCGCGAGTTACTTGCAGACGGGTACCTCGTCGACGACCCCGTCCTCGTCGTTCCTCGTCGTTTGCTCCGTCATATCGAGACTTGGTTTAAATCGATAAATGTAATGTAACGTAAGTAGTCGCGCCCCGGGACACGGAGCGGAGCAGCGAATATTACGGGGAAACGGGGGCTGGGGATAACAGCTGCCAGACGATGAAAACAGTCGAACGAATTCACCGCGGTTGGATCGACGTCTTCGCGAGAAGGCCTCGAGCCGCATGCGGTCGACCTTGAAGATCGAAGATGATCTTTTCTCTCGTATACGCTGCCACTGCCGCGTTGGTTTAACCGCGCTCACGCGGCCGCTGGGAGGAAAAGTTCCTCGCAGGACGTCGATTAAACTGCTGCGAGCTACCGGACACCGTCGGTGTGGATGCACGGTGCATCCTGCGGCGCGCAAGGTATGATTTCATCTTCGTGTGCTTTATTCTGCGCTGGCCACTCTTCCCGCTGATGTATGAAAAGTTTATTTATGGGGGACGTGCCTCGTTCGATCACGCGAGAGCCGCATGACGGCAGTAATATAGTGAGCTGAAACTCGAGTATCTTTCGTTTGCTGGACGTTAAAGCGAGGGGAATTAACAACGATACGTATATGCATATAATTCGTCGGGATTAGAGAACGACACCGTGTAACACCTCACCGTCGTATCTTCCTCTTATCGTTTGCCGAAAACTGCACTTTTACCTCCTAACTGCTGTCAAATAGAAACATTCGACGCCAATTGCTCTCGGGCAAATCTATTTTCACGTTCTCGAAAATTAAGCTGAGTTTAGCTCAACACACTTTTAAACAAACATACTTGCTCGGAAAGTAAAATACATATACGAAATCTATTTTTTCTTAACTATAGAGTTAAATCATTCTTGTTTGATATTTTTTTTTACTTCAATATATGTTAAGATCGATTACACCATTTTGCACGGCGACAGCTTAAAGACGCCTACGTTCATTTTTTATTTAATATTATACTATTTTGAACGTACCCATCTCGTTAGCATTAAGATATTTTATTCGTCTACCCTCAACTTTGGAACGCAAGAAAGCCAGTATCTCTTATTCAATAATGTGTCGCGTTTATTTTTAGGCATCACGTAGCGAGAGGTGCGATATATGCCAACGAAGATGACGCTACAGTCCTCGTCAATGATGAGGACATTCGTGCTGCCGACGGTACCTCTCGCACTTTACGCCTGGTCCTACCGGGATTAGACGCCGTGGAGAAACAAAGAAAAGAAGTAGGGACAATGTGAGGGTCGGTGAAAAAGAGACGAAGAAGTACTTGAGGCAGCGTGGGCAGCCGCTAGCGCTGCATTCCTGTAGGATCAAGGATCCCTACTTGCCTCGTGTGTGCATTTACATACGCGGACACACGTGTGAGGAGCTTTGACTTGCGACACGGACGCGTGTTCGCGCACATGCACCGCAGCTACGACTACAGACGTAAACGTATCACTCATACACGCGCGGTGACATAAAGCTGTTCGCCTCTCACACCTTGGTCGTCAGTATCGCATATATGTATGTATTTTTTTTTCATCGCGCGAGTTCCATGCGCGCAGGGAACAAAGGACATAGGCCCCGCTTTCGTGCGAACACCGAAATAATGATCTCGCGAGAGCTGATTGATGAATTTTCTAAGTGCGCGACGCCTTTCTCCTTTCTTCTCCAAGAAAAGAAGAAAAGAATTTGACAGTGCAGCGAGTGATTCCGCGGCCACAATACGACACGCGTTTTGCATCGAACTTACGTTTCTCGATCGAGAGGAAATGAAGGAACGGATGTGATTTATTCCGTGGAGATACACTGCAACGTACAGCGTATCAGCGTTTCCAGAGTGCGCAGGGGGAAGACATTCGTTCATCACGGTCGCGCCAAGTAAGGAATCGGGATAGCGTAAGAAAGCGGTTTATGCGGCATGACGAGTGACAAGCCCAAGACAGACGTACCACGCGGAAGAGCCGAGGGTACGGCGTCGTTCGCGCCAACATTCGAAGAATTCATCGCAAGGGCCGCGTTATGTTTTTCCATTTGACTTTTACGTATGTACATAGGCACCAATGTTATGTATATGCCGGGCGTGTCCAGGCCGTTCGTTGGCCTTTCCTCGGATTTGATTTCCTTTCGAATCGCCGCGTATATTCCCGACTCGTCCGTGCAGGCTGCAGCGATGGAAACTGGACTGACTGGCTTTAACGGCGCGTCTCGGGCTCGCGTCCGTGATGGTCGTACGTGCGACGTATACGAGGCTGCTACGTCTGCGACCACTGTCGCGTGCTGCGTACGTGTGCAGCGAATACATATTAGAGGCACAGTTGTGTTCTACGTGCGCGAGCGCGCGCTCGCGAGAGGGAGAGAATCCCTCGAGAATGCAAGCGCGCTGAATCGTCGTGCGTCAAATAGAACGCGACGAGGAGCGCGGCAGCCTGCAGATACCATTGTGACCGGTTGCATAAACCCGCCATCTTGGTATCCTCAAGGACGCGCATCGAATCCTAAGGTCAACGCACTCGACTCACATCGGCCGCCCTCCTCCTCCGCCTCGTCGTTGACTTCTTTTTCTGGACCTTTCCCCCGGCCCCTCCGCTCGCCACATACTTCTTTCTTTCCTTCTCGCTTCCATCGTTGCCGGCTGGTATCGCCTTCCTCTCGCTCTCGCTCGCGGGTGAGATGGAGAATCTCATCTGGCCACGAGCGGGATGTCACTGCCATTAATCCCGCCGATACGGCCCTGGCCAGAGTCGGTCGAGCCTCGGGCCGTCTTCCTCATTTTCCTCTTCTCCTTCTCTCCCCCATCCTCTTTCTTTCTCTCTTTCCCGCTCTTTCTCCACCTTTTACTTCTTCTTCTTCTTCTACTCTTTCGATCTTACGACCTCCGCTTCTCGTACAGAATGATAAACGCAGGATATTCCGCGGGCACCATCGACCGCATCCCCGTATAAAGTACTGGGTCGTTAGAGACGGCATTTAATCTCGCGCAAAAAGCACAACTGTGAACTGGACTGATTAGAGACGCTTCGGTGAGCAGTCTTTCAATCGGCCATACCCTTGTAACTTTCTAACCGAGGGTGTCAAGATCCGACGGGAATCAGATCGACACCGGTAGCACGCGATATCGTGATAAACGCAGACGTCTGCTACGCTCGAGAATGCGACCTGCCGCGTGTTGCGGCTATTTCGCGTTTAATTACCTATAGGTACGTAGCGGAAGGGGCTCGGGAAATGGCCTAGGAAGGGCTTTACACGAGAATGTTTAACGCCGCTGAAGCATTAAACGCGGATGCTAACTGAAACGCGTTTCAGTGGTAAATAATTGTGCGAGGATACAAACGTCAAAGTATCAGTCGGGAAACTCTTATCGAGGAAATGGACTTTTCTCGCATAACGTCGATTACGAGAATCAACTAAGAAAACAAGCGTTAAAATCTGTCGAGTGATCGTACGGTGAAGCAAGAGACAGGTAAATCGCGGTGACCAGAGAGCCGGGGCAGAGCGGGAAGAAAAAGGAGAAAGATCGGGAGCCAAGGAAGAGGCGAAGGAAGCGAAAGGAGGAGGAGAAGAAGAAAAAGAAGAGGCCGATGCCTGACCCCGGCCATCTTGGCCTGCAGGGTTATTCTATTTATATCGCGAACTTAGCTATATTTAGCTTACAGGGCCCCTCAGGAAAGCGAGCGAAGAAGAGGGTTTAAGGACGCGGTGGGGCAGGGTGCGGGGGAAAGCCGAGAAGGGCCGCAGGTTCGTGGTGACGCCAAGGGAGTACAGAACAAGTGGACCCCGAACGATTGCCCAACGACGGAGGGGGAAGAGGCGCGGAGGTAAGTCGCCCAACACGGTCGCCTCGGTAATCCGCTTGACGAATACATTAGCACTCTTGAATTTCGTTATCTCGCGCGATTTCCGCCATACCAGAAGCCGACTCGGTATATTTCATACTCGTGCCTTAATCCCCACGTTCTGTGCATGCGTGTAATATATCGAGCACTTCAAGTTTAGGTCACTGCAGTTTCAATTACTTGTTGAATATGCGAGAGCTCGGTGTTATTTAGAGGCCCACGAAGAAAGGGGGTAATCACGTTGGATGTCCATTTATATTTTTCGAAATGTAGATACGTCGATGTGGAATCATAGAAAAGATTGCAGATTAATTAGCGATAAAATAAAGAAATGGAATAAATACGAGTCGCTGATGACGAAAGTGAAGCAACAATCCAAGCCGGTATCATCCTTCACTTTTGTTAATTTCTTCTCAATTATATAACTATAAACACGTTTAAATTTATCGAAGTATGATGTATCTTCTTGAGATAGAAATTATCTCTCTTGTAAAGTTAATAGTAACCTTCTGAAATTGCTGCTTCGCTTTGTTCAAGTCTTCATTACGTTGCTCGGAACAATCGCGATATCTCAGAACGTGTAAAATTCATGGCGCGAAAAGGGGGAGTCACGATAGACGCTTCACCGACTTCAGGGCAGTTGTATGCTCGTGTCGGCCTATCGAGGTTATCGCGGTCCACGCCGTAAATTCAGGCCCCAACAACCCCGATTACTCCCGCCCTTCCTCCTCCTCTCTCTCTCTCCCTCCCCGCCTCCCTTCCTTCTGCCATTCCTCCACCTTGCTCTCGCTCTTTTTCTTTGAGACCCGATGAACTCGCGTTGCTATTTCGCGAAAAGATTCGCAGCTTCCACCGAGTACGTGTTATGAAGGAAGCTATACGAGGGACGAGCACGAAAACAGTCATATATCCCAACCGTACACACTGGCCGCATACCAGACGTGAACACTTACAACCGACGTAAGGTCCAAACGTCCGTGCCATGACCGAGCATTCGCAGTTGCTGTCGCGAACTGCCGTGCTAAATCATCCTAGTCGAGAGGTGTACCATACTGAGGAAGTGCCGCGTAAACTTGTGGTAAAGTGCAAGGGAAAAGGTCCTTTCCGCTAGAAATTCTCAACAAGATCGAACACCGGAAAGTAGAAGAATAAAAGTAAGAGAGGCTAGAAATTACGCCCATAAAATGTATTCCATTAGAGGTTTTCACTGATCAATTGCTGATACCAACGAATGGCGTTTTTCTTGGATCGCTGACGGAGTGTTTTATCGAGATGTGAGTGCCCGCCGTCCTGATAAAAATACACACGTCTAGACATTGATAAAATAGGGAAGGCGCAGAGGAAGTTATAATTTGTTCACATGACGAGTTTACTTCATTATTTGCGAAAGATGGGAAATAAATTGCCGCGCCAAGTGCTCAAGTGCCAAGGGCATTACTTCTTTTTAATTTAGTGCATCCTCCGCGTATGTCGAGGCTCTCTCACCCGGTAAGAGCACAACCGAGTGTTCGTGGGTCACGCGTTGCAGTGATAAATCATCCTAGATAATGGGATACCACCATTCCATTTCCAACGTGCTGTCAGCGGATAAGAACCGATACGTATGCCAAGTATTTTCCGCCGAGAATTCGTAGCTCTTACGCGTCTAGTGTCGATGTACTGAATCATTTCAGACAGGTTTACAATTTATTATTCGGAGAGAATGGACGACAGGGACAAACGGTATGGAGAGAAGGGAGACACGCGTTGTCGGCGCGTGTACGCCCGATCAAAAAGTACGATCCCATTGAAGAAAACGTGAATCAACGCGAACAGACCAACGCTCTTCCCGTTTTCCAGCCCCGGTTCGCCGGTTTTGCATTTATGGATTTCCCGTGCGCGTTCTTCCCGCACCTCACAATAAGGACATATTTATGAATGTGCCTTGTCCGGGCATCGCGTCGTCATGTACAGTCGGCTATACCTGTAGATTATGTGTTGCGACGTTAAATCACGTCCGAGCACGAATAAGTTATCGAAGAAAAACGCACCGAGGCGCACCACAAGTACACGAAGAAAGAGGCACGAAGGGTCTTCCTCTGCGCCAGGAATACTCGCGGTGAAAATTGCACAACGCCGAAGTCGCGCGTCCCACGCTGTCGCTATACTGCAACATCGACGTTTGCGCGATTCCAAGGGTAAAGGGACGTAATCGAAGGAGAGGAAGGGACGAGCGCGTGTACGCGTATCGCAGCATTTTATAATTTCGCCGGATGAATCGGCATTAAGCTCCATTGCTCGTTGCTCGTGCGCGCGCGCCGGTTATTCGCGCGCTGAGTGACTTCACGATAAATCAACCGAGCGCGAATCAAGAGGCGAGTTAACAGCATCGCGAAACAAAGGCGCGGCCTTCTGTGATTCGACAAATTTTCCTTTATCCCAAAGAGAGACGCATACGACGCACACCGCATTTCGCGGCAAATAACCGACGCTAATGGAGATAGCGCGATCTGATTTTCTATTATTACGGAAGTCGTTCGTACAGAGATACGTGACTCTCTTCCTCTCTCTCTCTCTCTTACCTCATCGCGGACCAACGATAATGAGCCTCCTGCGTACTTTCAACACAGCTTTATGCAACAAATTCGCGGGAAATAATTTAACATATGTAGTTAAGAAAGGATTCCCGACATAAATGGAATAGAACGTACGGCATACATCTGTACCGTACATCTTATTCAAATACGATTAACCTTTCGAATTACATTAGTATGTGCATAAGTGTGCCTGCATTAATGCATGACGAGTTTCGTTACGTATGCCATGTAATATATTGAGGATGGTATCGTTACAAAAGAAAGTTTGTAATTTTTCCATTTAAATTTCTCCCTTGCCCATGTATAGAATGAACATATTTGCGTGAAATTATGTATGCAATGTTCGCAATTCAAGCATGTTCGGTAGAGGCGTGCAAAACGTCTCCACTTCATGCTCAAGCTCGACAGTTTTATGTTACTCAGGCTCCGACGTTCTATTAGATGGAGTGGGGATGTGTGAAGTTGACAGAGTGAGGAAGAAACGAGCCTGAGTTCAACCCATCGAGCTCGTCAAGCTTGAGAGGCTCGATACAAATCGAGTCTACATCGGTCGAAACAGTACAATCGATTTTCTTCAAACTAAATAATCAAAGACATAGTACATGCTTACACAACTTACATGTACGTGTAATATACACGCACGCATGCATATACATCGATATGCGCATTTCTTTTAATATAATCGTGTAATTTTATCAAAACAATTTTGTGACAAAATTTCAAATTTTAATCGACCTCAGCTGGCTACATTTATTAAATACGCTTTCACAACGTTTCGACCTTTGATTTAGGTCCTTATCAAGTGAGATCTTGTTACGGAGTACATGCGCACGCATGCACGCACAAATTAGATATTGCCAATTGCGCACATCCCTTTATAAAAAAAACTACATATTATTATTGTTATAAAAAATTACGATATACTACATTAAATGCAAAAGATTTTTTTCCACGAAGAAATCGATTCTACTGTTTCGATAGAAGTCTCGAGTCCATATCGATCTTGGACCAGGCTCGAGCTCGAACTCTAAAAGCTCGAGCCCGACAGAACGCGAGCGTCTAGTTTTGCATTCAAGCTCGAGATTGAAGCAACGCCTCTAATGTTCGGTACCTTAGGATTTCAGAGAATACTGTCAGCAAAATAAGAAGAGAAAGCGAATTGTCACACGTACGATACTGTTCGTAACAATTAATTAGAACAAACAACGTCTAATGTATTTTATCTATAATAATGCATTACTATCTCAACTGTATTCAATAAATTATTAGCTTCGCGAAAAATAAATAGCGCTTGAACCAGTTTCATCACCTCGTCGAAAATGTTTAGTCTTTCGTGTGTTCAGCGCTTGATCGCTGTTATGTCCTTTTTAAACGTGCATTTCCTACACAAGAAAACGGTATGTTTCCTGCATCGGCTTTCTACGAACTCCTCTCGACAGCTAAAGCGCGCGCGCGCGCGAACAAAAATGGTTCGTCGCCCAACCACACGTTTCGAAAAGCAGTGTGAGTTCTCGGCGCGTTGAAATCCCCATTAAGATGGTAGCAAAAAGCTGTATGCCTGTATACAAGTATACCTAACGTTCTCTTTGCCAGAATGCTTACTGCATTCCTCTACCGAACCAACAACTAATAAAAATATTAATTGAGAGAATCATCTTGGCGTAAATAAGATGAACGATTTGTTGATTTTTAAATAAACGGAGACAAACGTATAAACGCGAAATTAAAAGAAACTCACTTTCGGCACAGTCACCGAATATCCATTATTTTAGAATAAACTCATGACTGATAGGTATTTTGTGCCAAAGAATCATCAGCTCATTGACGCATTCGATTGCGCTTACCGAGGCGGTTCTCCGACTGACCGCTCTAAACTTAAATCTGCATAAACAAACACATTCCGCAAAACAATTCTTACCTTCTTCGACGATTGCGGCCTTGATCCTGCGTCTCGTGAAGCGAATGCCGACGACGGTCGCGATTACGTTTCTTCAGGCTTCTACCCTCGCTGCCGTAGATCGGTCCACCTCGCGTCAAGGTACCAAGGTCGCTCGACATGGACTTCTCATGATGGTTCATGCTATTCGATCGTGGCCGATCGTAACCATGAGATTTCGCGGAATTACCGTGATTGATGATCTTTCGGGGGCCGTTGTGCATGTAACGGCCGTGTTCCCTCGGCAGGCTGCAGTAAAGATTTTGCGACGTGTAAATCGTCTTGGCCAAGGATTTATTGTCCCGGCCATTATCGCCAGTATTTGCATTTCCCTTCGTGGAAAACGTGGAGTTGACGTCGTGACTTCCCTTCGAACCGCCACCCAGATGTACCCGCAACCACTTTCCTATGCCACCACCTCCTCCGCTTCCAGCGTGGTTGTCTTGAACACCGTACGAATCGCCGGTCTTGCTTCTGTAAATAGAAAGTACAAAACGATATTACTTACAAGTGCTGTTCGGGCTTAAACTACGCTCTCGATTACTTTCCTCAGCAAACACGCCCTTTCTTCCCACGCGCGTTTACAAAGTACGCAGGGATGGAAAACTGCAGCGCGGCTGTCACGTGGCATGGATGAAAGCAAACCGCAGTGCGTGCTCCAAGAAGAAAAAGCGGGTACAATATTTCAATGGAACGGAGGAAGAAATGAAGCGATCGCGTTCACGGTGTTAGACGAGAGCGGCATAATAGTCCACGACAGTCTCGGTTCAGCGGTTTCGATTTCAGTATCCAGACAGATCGATAAAGAACGGCCATGCATGTAACGAGGCAAAAACTGAAGAAAAGTACACGACTATAGAGGAAGGATCTGCAGGGAGAACGGACAGGCAACGGGGATCAGAAGACGAACGAGCGGGGAATGAATGGCACACGCCCGCAAGGGAATCAGGGCCGATGCTTTATTGTAATAAGGGCCATGTGGGACGAAACAGAGAGACGGCTGGCGGACGGGGGAAGGGCCGGTAGTAGTTAGGACGCGATGACCTTGGCAAGGTCATCGATACTTCTGGCCATCGCCAGTAGAAGCCGCCACCGCGTGGCACCTTCTCGACACGTACGTGTGGCTTCGAGGGTTCTTCTTTATCGATAATTCTGTACTTCTCAGTAACTGGCACTTTCTCAATGTCAATTAATTCTTACTACGTAAGCTCGCGATGCGCACTTCGTTACGAGCCGCGATAGGCCGCTTATACCGACGTGTTAAACCAACCAACTTTATCGCGATACCTTCCCGGCGTGTATCACAGTCGGCATGGCATACGGCGCATCGAATTAACGATCGGCATTATAATTTAAATCAATGCGAAACATGCGCGGTTTATATTTAATCGGAGGCCCGAAAGGGACGTCTGAAGACCTAAGTTCGAGCGAGCGTCGCGCCTTGCGATTCGCCGAGATGCACTTAATTAATTGCGGCGAAATTAATTAGCCGCGTAATGCAAGTTACTTAATTGACCGGCGAAGAACGAGTCTTAGACTTCCTGATAAGGGGACAGTCTACTTTGTCGAAAGTTTAATCGGCAGCGAGATCTCGGACCCAACATTAAGAACGAGGAGGAGCTCGGTAGAGGAAGCCGAGTAGCAGTCTTGATGCAGTTTCGCGATTCTCGGCGTATTATCCGGCGTATTACGCCACTGTATGAAATTCCGGTTTTGCCGCCCCCTCCGGCCGTTCGGGTACCCGCTCATCCCCCTGTGCTGTTATCTCTCTGGCTTTTTTCCCGGTGCTCGTTTTTGCCTACCGCCTCGTGAGCCGCACCCGAACTCGAAAGCAAACGCATTATCACGAAGCAATCGTCTTCTCCTCGGCCAATCAACGACCTCTTTAGGGATCGCACTTTTGGTGGTAACCGGTCGCATTCCCGAATGAAATAAAAACTTTGTATCTTCTCGCTCAAACGGGAAACAAACATTACAAGCAGCATCGTGCAGCATTTTCAACTAAACCTTTAAACATTATTGCCAATTAACACAAACCTTACGAAAGTATCTTGATATTTTGTAAATAATTTAGATTATCATGTTTTTTAATAATAAAATTATTAAATGTATTATTAGATATGTTTCAAATCTGTGTTAGATCTGTTATCTCAATGTTTAACAAGCAACACGAAGAAGGTAACGATTTGCTAATATCATTAAGTGAATTCACATCTATATGCAAAATCTAAGTCATATTTTATGCGAACGCGATACTTTTATCCTAATTGTTATTAAATGTTATTTTTACCCTTCTTCCTCCTCTATATCCGTCTAGCGTATTTAATTACAGCTTAATCTTCATGATTCACGGCGTCACGCTCGTGTTCGCTGAAGCCTGAATCCAGTATACTAAGCAATGCATTTGTATGCATTCTGCTCGCCCCAGAGGTTCGAGTCCTCTTTTTGTCACGTTCGTTCTATCGGCCTCGTGCCATTTTATTCGATGACGTTGTCGGCTATGACGTAAATGTGAATCGCAGATTCAGCGTGATTCGCCAATGAAGACCATTGTTTCGAGACGATTGCGCAGCCATAATGAAACATGCGCCAAATTATTGTTATTTCTCAGTCTTATGTTAGTTTCATCTTCCAGCGATATTCGGTTTCAAAACAGATGGATATTTCAGCCGATGAAATAAATAGATGTAAACGGAATAATCTTTAATCTTATTGTTAATGTTTAATCTTCTTACGAGTAAAATGTAATAATGTTACTCCAAAATATTCGTTGTAAGTTATACAACAGAGAAACTGCTATAATTTCAGAAATCGAGGACAATAACCAACTTCATGTAAATAAATTAAATTAAGTTTTCAGATTTGTTCGCGATCCATCGAACACGCGTATATATTTGATAAATATATTTTGCAGACAAATTAGAAATGGCAATACGTATCGTGTAAAACCATGTTCAATTTCATGGAACATTCAGGTTTTTACCTGAACGTACGTGTAAAGTAAAAACATGCATTTCCTGCCGACATTTCATCCTACACCTTTTCGTACCTCAATGACCTGAACTCGGGCTGATTCTCTTCCTTCTTACTCTTCGTTTCGCCAGTTCTTCAGGTTTTGCGCGGCTCGTTTCGCGAGTCCCTCGTTCTCTTCTTATTTTTCCCGTCTGCCATGCTGATCCTTTCCCTCCGTCTCGCTGCTGTTTCGTTTCTTCCTTTCCTACGCCTTTTTCCTTTCACTGGATTTCCTTTTTCGCTCTTTCTTCATTGATACAAAACACTTACTTTTCCTCTATTGAATTTCTAATTCTATCATTCCTATCTGCCTTTTCTTGCAAAGAGATTTGCGTTCTATTCTTCGAGGTTCAATGGTGCTCGTGTCTTCTTTAAGATAGCAAATGAATAATTTATCGCACAGGTAATTAGTAATTCTACGCGTAGACGATGTATATGTTTTGTTGTGACGAAAAATACCTAACTATAAAATTTACGTACAAAATATCATTATTTACCCAGCTGTGAAAATATGATATGTAACTTATGTTTGTTGAAGCTGATTTTCAAAAAAATATCTCGTTTATATATTGCGTCATAATAACGTAAAGTACGGATATCTTAAGTTACGTTTGCGTTTCTAAATATTTGAACGGACGCATATAATCGTAAATTAAATTTCCGCAAATTACACATAAAAACGCTACACAGTGGAAAAAAGTCTCCCAAGATATTTCTCAAGATTGTTCATTAAAATATCCACAAGCTGATGCTCTTCTATCATGGCAGAAAAGCTACATATTGATTACTACTAGATGATGTTGCAGTAGTTGCAAGTAGGGACGCAGTACATGGGATTAACATTTAGATGAGCGGAATACTTGCGTCGACTTACGTTGCTCCCTGAAGTACAAAGGATTAACATCCTTACAAGCACCCATACGTGTTTTTATGCTGCATCCAACTGAATCATCCTTATACTCATAAACGTCACCGGTTTCTTCCAGCGCGAGCCTCTCGACGGAAGTCGGCTCCTCTTGTAGCGAGCTCCGAAACGCTCGTCGGCCGACTGGTTTCGGCGAAACGATAGTGAAAATCCCCGTCAATATTGATCGTTGTTCTTGTCCCGAAGTCAAAGGTCCTTCGAGACAACGAGCCCCGGAGCAAACGCCGCGCGCGGGCCGCTCTTCTTGCCGATCTTTTGCGCGAGGCGGTCGGAGGAGCGCGAGCGTCGTGAAAAAGCAAATGCGCCGCATCGCGAGGGTGCTCAAATACGTTGCCGCTCGGTGCCCTCAAAGCATAATGCGCGTATTATATGCCGGCGTACCTGTTCGGCTAAATTCATCTACGGTCCGAGGAGCGGCGTCGGCGTCTTTGAGCCTGCTGCTGGACGGTATCGCGGAAGGGCAGCTATCTACCTGCGGCAGATATGCGTTTACGCGTGTATGCGCAGGACAACGATCCCGGGCTCTACGGAGGAGAGATGCCCCTTTTCCGTACGTACGGGATACTCCCAATCGTTTCGCCCGTTTATCGATTGTGATCGACGCGTACACCTTCGTGACTTGGCTTTAACGCGGAATTATGCGTGTGCGTGGCGCCGTTTGTGCAGCGTAGCTGAAGACGAGAGAGCAGGGGAGAATAGGAGATCCCCTTATCTCAAGGTGGAGCCGAGGCCGCGCGTTACTAATGTCGTGCTCTCTGTGTTGTGACAGCCACCGTACGGTGAAACGGCGATTTCAAGCACGCCGGAATGCCCGATGATAATAAAGCACTCCTCCCGGATTCGTAATTACGGCGGGACGGGTCACGAACTATCGCCAGCCGGCAACGGTCCCCGCGATGTCTCCCCGCTCATTATTTCCGAGGGGTACGGTCAGACTGTCTCGCGATGCTCGTAGTTTATTGTCGTGTACGGGAGCGTTTCTTCAATGTCGCCGAATGGTATGCTATAACTAGAGGTGTGACATTTTCATGTTATCTTCAGACGCTAAATATCGCAAAATACCCCCGCAACGTTTTTAATGCCATTTCTTTTTCATTTTGGAGTCTCCGACTTCGTTTTAACACGTTTTCTAAACGCAAGAAACATTTTCTCTCAAGAAAATTTTATTCCAGAAACAACTCGGAAACGCTCGAAACAGTTGCGGAATGACCATCGAGTAAAATATTCCTCGGAGAAGAAGATTTTGGAACGTAACCCTGAATCTAAATGTTCCCAAATTCATTGAAAAAAAAGTGTCGCAACCATTTTCACTGTACAGCCAATTCGCTACCGCGGGATTGCCGAGGATCGACGTTATTAGCCCATTACCGCCTACCGAACACCGCGTGATTGCGGTACGTAATTCACGTAAGCAAGGAAATAGTAATGGAATTATGTATATTAATAAGTTTAAATCACCACTCGGCGGTTTTATATTACGCGCGATTGCACTATCTGCTATTATCGTACTATCTGACAATCAATTAAACTTGATTCT